TTTTTTTTTTTCAGTCTATCAAATTCATTCCCTTGCTTATTCCATTCATGTATAATAGTCGTGGACATGAATTTTTGGATAGGATTGAATTAAATTTAATTAAAATTTTAATATATTTTTAAATTAAATTTTAAATAAAAATATTTTTATTAATAATTTAATATATTAAAATTGAGTTAAAAATTTTAAATCCAAGACAAGCTGATTGTTAGGTTAATTGCCTTTATATTATTAATCATCCACATGTATCTTGTTACTTCTAATGATAAAGATTTGTCAGAATAAAAAGTTGTATTAGTTTGAATGTCATTGCAATGGTCAGTTTATTTGCAAGACAAAGAAGGGACTTGTTGATATTTTTGATTAACAACTTGTCTATTCTATGTGGTTGGTAAGATTGTAATAATTACTTATATATAATAAATGATTCATTAATCCATCTTAAAAAAAAAATTTACACTTATACCTAGGCTTAAAAAATAAGATTTTTTTTTTTTATTCTTTATTGCACTTAGCACCCCTTCAATTTCAATTCGTTATCATAGATGTATAATGGTTATAATGTTACTTTTCTTTAACAAGATTAATTGAAAATGACCTTATGTTGCAAAAGATTCTTTTATGATATCTAATGGCTTTTTTTTTTTCATTTTAATATTGAAATATTAATTAGGATCGGCTACCTTTTTTTATATTTTCATCTTATCCTGCAATATAATTCATAAATTAGATTTATATCATATTATTTCCCATTAATATTTTTTATTTGGTCTATTTTTTATTTTTTATTTTTAAATGAAAATATCTTTTTATTTTTTTATTTATTTCTTATACAAATTTTTATTAATTTAATAAAATTGAGTATTTTATTTTTATCTAAAACTACACAAAAATGATATAAAATAATTTTTAATATTTTACTACAACATTTTTGTATAAAATTTATCGAACACTATTTTTAATTTATTTTTTGCAACGTATTTAGAATAACTTTATTATAGAACCTTCCGTCGGACCAAATAGATCAATCTAATTATAAGCTCATTTAAATACTTCTAGTTTACCCATAAATGAGTAAGAGTATCTTGTCATGCCTAATTAAGATAACTAAAGTTCATTTGTATTCCTTTTAAATGACCTTCAAGTGAATTTCTTTTGATTCAACAATAATAATTTATCTAAAATATTATACGTCATCAAAGTATTTGAAATATTAATATCAAGATGAGATTGAGTTACTATTGTTGAACATTATCACCTTACTAATTACAGGACATTATTGAATAATTTAAAAATGGAGATGCCTCTTATTCATTCAAACAATGTGTGATTGTTACATTGACATTCAATGTAAGAACCTTTAATTTGCCAAACCCACTGCCAATATCAAATGGTCTTGTTTTGGCCACTTGTTAATCGGTTTAATGTGTTTCAAAACATCCTCATGAAAATTTTCTGTTCTAGAATCTTTTCTAGCTTCTCTTCACAAGACAAAATGGGGACAACAAATCTATGCAGTACAGCACTGGGCAGATCTTGTTTACATGCAATTACTTGCGTAGCTAAGACAAGTTAGCGTGTGAATTGAGAAACTTTTTGTCAAAAAAATTCGACTGGAATGTTTGCCAAAAGAGTAGTGCATGCTTTTCAAGTGAATTTGTACAAAAACAATCAATAAAATTCGAATACTTTAATTATAAAATTTAATTTAAATTTTACTACCAACAATTTTTTATAAACTATTTATAAATTTAATATAATTTTCTTAAAAAATTTACGAGTTATTATGATCTTAGGGAAGTTTTTTCTTACCATAAACTCTTATTCTGTCAAAAAAAAAAAAAGAATTTGCACTGAGAGTAATAGGTACATGTGACCTATTGGCTATGGCAGGGACATAACACTATTTATTTGTAGGGAAAAGTTGCAGATGATAGCACCCAAGAGGTTAAAAGAGGTCAGGATGTCTCTAGTTTGGTTGTTATAGATTCTTTTCTTTCTTTTTTTTTTTAATCCTTTTGAAGATGAAATAGAAGAGCATATAAGATTAGTGTGTGTTTTGTCTATTTTCCTGCATAAGCTTCTCTATCTTTTTAACTTACCAATAAAATAAAGGAGAAAAGGTTTCTATATTTTCTTGTTTTAGGAGTCTATTTGAGATATTTGATAAAATCAAAGATGCTGCTTCAACTAATAATATTTATCAATAAAAAAGAAAAGGGTTGAAACAGATTGGTTGTCACTTTCTATAGTAAGTAGTAGGCATCCTCATTCCACTTGAGAAAAATTTCAGAATCATCATATTCATGCTCAAGCTGAAAAAGTTGAAAACTCCAAAGTAATGGGTGGGCCTCTTTCTAGATATCTAAATCTAGATCAGTACGCCATGATTTAGCTTATCATCCCACTTTCAGCAACTTCATGCACCAAATGAACAAATTGCTTTTATTCCCTCTTGGCAAAGAGGAGAGCACTATCTAAGCTGTGAAGTAGGTTTGCTCTCTGCTAAAATTATTGGCCATTTGGCCTTGTTTCAAAATTTTGGACTTTTTTTTTTTTTTGGGAAAATTTAGGAACAGAGAAAATTATCTCATTTTCAAGGTCAAGACAAGCCGTCTAATTGAGATTTATAAATCTATTAAATTTTCACTTGTGAATTTTTTAGATTTATAAATCGTTTATTAATGAAAAATTGTGAGAAAATTTAAACCTAAATGTTGATGCACTATCATTCATTCCTTACCACTTCTGATAATTTTCATTGGCAAATTTTGGACGTAATTTATACTGAAATCAACCTCATATTGAATATTCAATCACACTGAAATTAATTTAAGTTGAAATATAAAAAAAAAAATCTTTGAATTAAAATTAAATAATCATTCATGCTCTATTATTTTATTGTAATAAATTGAGTTTTCAAATGAATTATTTCCACCTAAGACATAGAAAAGATTTGTTGCTTTAGCAAACCTTTCTATTCTTCCTCTATATATTTGTATTTTAGAAGCAAAGGAAGCACAATGTATCTTATTAAGATTTTCTTTAGGACTTTTCATGTTTCTCTTGGTTCCCGTGGTTTTCTAGTGGCTCTTTGGTTTGTTTAACAAAATCTTTTGTGAAGTTTCAAATTGACAAAAGGGGGTTTCAATCTTTAAAAGGTCAAAAGTTGAGGGATGATTTGGCCCATGATTTAACCTTTCGAAACACATATTTGACTGCTGATTCTGACAGCTTGCATTGTTCACGAGTTAGAGAAGATAAATGTGGAAATAAAGGAACATACTGATTTCCAATTGCTTTTCTCAAAATGTTAGGCTCTGAATGGTGATTCTATGTGGAAAGTTCCAAGATTTGATTCCTTTTTGTTGAGCATTCTACAAAATGCAGATTTGGGCAAATCTATAACTCAATTTGAAATTTGGGATATCAAAATTTTAAGGCTGATTTCTCTATCAATGATGCTAATGAGTTGTGAATTGCCCTTGTTTGACTGTAGAACTAAATCCTCCCAACTCCCAGCTATAGATGAGGTTACTGACAGATTGATCCGTACTTCGGAATCCATCTGTAACTCAATTTGAAATTTGGGATATAAAAAATTTAAGGCTGATTTCTCTATCAATGATGCTATTGAGTTGTGAATTGCCCCGGTTTGACTGTAGAACTAAATCCTCCCAACTCCCAGCTATAGATGAGGTTACTGATAGATTGATCCGTACTTCGGAATCCATTATATAACAATAGCTTGGTTTTGTGGTCAGGTATTATACGAGATTGCATAAAATCTTCTAATAAAGTCATTTCTGAAAGTTGTTAACATTACCAATTCCTACTACATCCCGTCACTTTCAGCAGTCAAGGAATGCATGCATCTTGCATATTGCTCTATGTATAGGATTTCCCTCAAGGATTCATTGTAGTCAAAACTAGCAATAAAACTTGAAATTTAGCTAAATTGGTTCATACAATAACTCTCAATAGGTGAGATTTAGATAGTTCAAATCTTAGCATATGCACAGACCGCACTTTGTGAAAAAAAAAAGCAATAAATGACTTATCCAAGATCATGCTAGAATTCTACTAAAATCCAGTTTTCCTGCTTTGTTAGTGGTTTTTATGCATGCAATTGCTATTTTCTGCATCATCATCTCTCTTTTTGTTAGAGGTTTTTATGCATGCAATTGCTATTTTGCGTATCATGATCTCTATAAAATATTATTATGTGACAAACTTACCTCGGAATGCATTTTACTTTGATTTCTTGTTGAAGCAAATATATGTAAAATCATGATGTTCTTGTTGGGAATTGGCCAATTATTTCGGTTCACTATCTTAATAGCAGATTAGTCGATCACAGGCTTGCGAAGCTGGCCACGCCAACCATGAGTCAACCATAGGAACAGAAAACAGACCTCCGATTTTGTTATAACACCAACTATAGCAACTCAAAGATCATGCATGCTATTGCCAATTAGCTGGATTAAAGACAAGTAACCCACAATTGCACAACTACGCATATCTTGTTAATAAAGTGCTGAACTCTTAAATTGAAATTTAAATCCTAACAGTCTCAAATGCCAACAAAAAAACAAAAAACCAATTTAAATTTTAGTAGTCGTCAATGGTTGGTGATGCATAGTCCTGAAACATTTTCTTATGAAAAGAGTGATGGGGTTTTCTTTCTTGGTCAATCAACAGGTGAAGACATAAAAGGGTATGCAATTTTGCAAATTGGAGCACTTCGAAACAAGTTATAAACTTGAAGCAACAGATAACGGTGAGTTTTGCAACCAAATGCAAACCCTGTAACATGTTCTCACCCTCTATACTCAAACGCTCCCCTCATTATCATGAAACAAGCAGAAGACAAGAGAGGGAAGTATTTCTACTACTGACTGAAATAAGTCCACTTTGTAAACGAAAGTACTATGAAAAATACTATGAAGATTTCCGTAAGAAACATAACAAATCGACAGGAAATGTAGATAGTAAGTATATATAAGGAAAAAAAGTCTTATTTGAGTTTATGTGATCCAAGTACAAATAAACGTTAATATTCTGCTTATCACACCAGAATGGTCAATATCAAGCTCATATGAGAAGGAATAAATATTAAGCCAATTTTAAACATATTCTGTACATATATTTACACTAATGTCTTCTAGTCATTGACAGCTTTATTTATGCATAATGCTTTGCTTCGTCAACGTTACTTACTAATAGCGTATAAGTTGAAGCCATCACAGTCTGAAAAGTTGTTTCCTGGTTTTAACCTTTATCTCCTGGCTATAGATTCCAGCAAACTCACCTAATGGTAGGATTACCTCGTGGAACCAGCAGTGATAACTCCATCTCTGAAGATTTTCTGCCTCCAACCTGATTTACTGCCAGCAGGACCATCCTGGCTATTTTGCTGGCCTTTCTTTAGTCTTGCCCTTACACTGCATCCAACAGATAGAGTGAACCTCATAGCTGTAAATAGACCAAGGGCAATTGCTAGTGGCCTCACAGCCCAGTGAAAATCCTCAACATGTTGATATTTCTCCACCACACCAGGACATGTATCAAAAGACACAGATTCCACTTCAGCAGGGTCAGCTAAAAATCTGTTGGGTTCATTTCCAAGAACAAATCTACCTGGAAACTCTACAACAAGACACCCATTTGGAAGCACCTCTGAAACTCTCCCAGTGGCCCATGTTCCTCCCCTCTTCCGTGGCCATTCAAACCGAGAAGTAAACACAGTTGCCTTAAGCCTCACAAACTGCCCCACATAATAAGCTTTAACCATTTGAAGCTGAGAAGACTTTCCCATCCACAGTGTCTCTAATCCTAAAAATCCAACTTCGACGGTTCCATCACGCTGCACTAAATGTAGTATTCCCACAGGGGAATGACTCTGGTTTTCCTTTTTCAAGCACACCCAGTCCCCCACTGCTAAACCGGATGTGACCCTCTCAAGTGTTGACTCCTGTACTCTCAAATGGTTATGCATTCCAGGAATTTTCACCAGAACAAAGCCATTCTTATCAGCATCCCCATCTAAACCAACAACAGTTCCTTCTCGAACATCCAAGGTTTGAGGTCTGCGAGCATTTAGAGGTCTCCTTGAGCGAACCATGTCACCCACTTGAAGGCGATCCTTTGAGAGATACCATGTGGTGTAACCACTGACAATTGCTTTTTCCTTGATTGGTAGGCTTCCAAGGCCAATCCATCCTCCATCACTGTGAACAGCATTCAGTGAGCTGCAAGTATAAGTCACCAATTTATAAGAGTGCAAGCCAAACAGAGGAAAAGAGGAAAAGGAAAGGGATTACAAAAAAATTAGATCCTGGTTTTGTTTGACTTAGAAGCATAGACACACACTGTGGTGGCATTGTTCCAAGCTCTTGTAGCATTTTCAGAGCAGATTTTACCAAGCATCTTTATTTTCAACTGCAATAACTAAATATTGTAACAAAAATTCTGGCAAAGTAACAGCAAGACTGTTAGTTTGGTACTAATGTCCATACTGTGACTGCATGTAAACCATTTAACAGCTATAATCATATAACAACTATACAGAGTGATTAGAATTATTAATTCATACCACAAAAAATTTATGTTAATCACAAGTCCAACAAGAAATGAATGCAATTCAGCTCAACCTAGTAGGCATATATAACACTAGCTGAGAAGTTTAGGAAAATATTTAGATTCATGCGTAAAACCTACATATGCTTTTCAATTTGGGACACTCACAAACCAAGTAGTAGGAAAGACAACAATTAGCAAAACTTTTATGGGAATACTTACACAATTTTATTGCTTTTTTAAATGCAGAAAACATGACAAATGGTGAAGCTACAATTTCTTAGATCATGAATTTCAAACCTCTACTTGCCAAGCAAGAAGCAGGACAGAATTGAAGATCAGAGATGTAAGTGAGATTGGAAGAGGGGGAGGTAATTTGCCAATCCTTTCCCACAACCATGATGGTTCACGGGGCTATGGTTCTATGTGCTAACACTAGCAAGAAATTAATGAACAACAAAACTATTCAACATAAAAAATTCCAAAGAAATTGCAACAAGTACCTAACGAAATGAAACAAAAGAGGTGTTTTCTTTTTTACTTCTGTAATTTCTGTAATTCTACGGAGATCACTAGCAAGAACTTGATAAACAACAAGATTATTCAACATTAACCCCTCTAAAGAAATTGCAACATGTATGAGGTGTTTCTTCTTCTATTCCTACAACTTCATGAAGATCAAGTTACCTACCACCCAAAGTTGAGGAAGGAAGTAACATATTAATCATTAAAGATCTTATCATCATGAAAATATAATCAACTACTCGCAACAAAATTGTTTCCGGAATAAAAAACCAAGGTGGAAACAAGGCAAAAGCCAATACCTTTCAAAGGCAAGTAAAATATCTGAAACTAACGGTCGGTTTCTGAGATCATACTGAAAGCAACCATTGATAACATTCTCAACAGCGAGAGGCAAGCCACTTGGATAACATGGTTTTTCTTTCTTAATCACAACCGAATAATATATTTCTTCAATTGATTTTCCAAACCACGGTGGAACACCAGTCAACATCTCCACCACACTACACCCAAATCCCCAAATGTCAGTCTCCAAGGATAAAGGGCCTCTTACTTCAGGTTCCCACTGCTCTGGAGCCATGTAGTTAGAAGTACCAAGCTTAAGTGCCATATCAGAGTCAGCCAACGGAATCCCAAGAAGTAGATATGGGATTCCAAAATCCCCCAGAGCTAATTGATCGTGTTCATTTAGAAGGAAGTTGGTAGGCTTCAGGTTGAGCACTAACAACCCTATTGAGTGTAACTCGATGAGACCTCTTGCTAACTGGATCCCATACCTATAAATATTAGCCACTTCTAAGGATGTCCCAAGTTCAACTAAAACCACTATGTACTTCAAAAAGAAGAAATATATAAAAATATATCACCTTAAGATATCAGGCAATGAGAGCTTGCCTCCTTTTGATCGAGCCATTTGATCACCCACAGATCCTTCGTAAAACTTCATAGCAATGCAGATCTGCAAAATCATATAAAAAAACTCATTGTATGATCAGAATGCTAGCCATTTACATGGAAATTTCACCATCTGCAGCAAGCTGACGTGAAAAATCAAGTCAGCCACTTTACTAGAAAGTTAACACCTCAGACTCTCAGGGAGATGTGTGAAAGATGGGATCCGACCATGTCATTTAGTTCGAAACCTTTAGGAAAATCTATATCTAACATCACTTTTGTGATTGAGTCATGAGGCCACCAAAGACAATGGACAATTAACTAGATATTATATTAGCAAGATACATACATACATACATCCATACATATATATATACACACACACACACACACACACACACACACACACATGCGAGTCACTATAAGGATACAGAAAAATTAATGCTGAGAGTCACCTTTCCATTTATAATAGAGACACCATGCAACCAGCAAACACCTTGGAGCTCTCGACACTTCAAGAATATCTCTTCAAACTTATCAAGAAACTTTTGCATATGCTCCTCCTTCAATGGGTGCAACATCTTAACAGCAACTTCATGATACTCATCAAAATCATCTCCTGACTGATGATGAGTAGCCAGCCAAACATCACCAAAAGGGCCCCGCCCTATCCTATGCTTAAGTTTCAACGAGGCAGGATTAATCCATGGTCTAGTCTGAGTAGGTGTAGCCACAACAGTCCGAAGGTGGTCAGGATCTCCTTCAAAAAGCTCATACTCAAAGGAAGAGACCTGCTTTGCTTTAATCCTTTGAGGCATTCTTCCTACAAATATGGTATAAGAAAAGTAAGATATTTTAAATATGAACCTGAATAACAAATACACAATGAAAACACTAATATATGAGGCATTTTTCCTCCCTGACCCATCTAGAATACAATAAACATGAAGAACTAATGCTTTACCAAATGCTTAAAACTTAATGCCCATTACCATACATTTTAGAAGCTTAAACCTATTCTATCCAATTTGATAATAATAATAAAAAGCCTGAAGATTCACTATCAGTAAAAACCAAACAAACCGCCCCTCTTCTTCATAATCATTTCTTTAAGATTATGATTCCTCAAGCTAAAACTAGAAGTTAGTACCAGCAAAGTCAAAGGCAGCTGATTGATTTAGGAATCAATCAAACCACTTTGATAGAAAAGAAAACCAACAATATTTTCTTTTTATTTAACAATTCCTTTCTTATTTTAACTCTCAAAGTAATACCAATTCAACAAATTAAGCATATTAACCAAAAAAATAAAAATCAAATTCCAGTTTTTAATGTTACAAATAACAAAAGCAACTATTTCCTGCAAAATCAAAAGAAAATTAACAACAAAATAACTCATATATCCAATCAAGCCTATACCGAAAACAGTTCAGATGAATGAAGCATATGATCAAAAACACTTGCAGAACACAAAAAGGAATTCATTTTGGTAATAACCCATTTCGAAGAAATAAATTCTTCGTCTCATTTTCATGTCCTGGCAATGAAAATTTCAAAATTGGAAAGCAAAAAGAAAAAAAAAAGAGTTTTTCCTACAGTTTCTCAGGATACAAACAAAGGAAAGAAAACTCACCAGCAGGAAGAGAAAGAGAAAGGGCAGTTTGGGCTCGCTAGCAAACACGAACTTCAAAAGTTTACGCTGAAATATGAAATTGTAGCAAAAATTCGACAAATTTGATTTTTGGACGGCGAGAAAAACAGGAAGAAGAAGAAGAGCTAAAGAGGAGCCCGAGGAGATTTGGTCACTCACTGCTAGAGACATGGAATATTTGGTGCTGCTTGAACCATCTCCTTTCCACGTCATCCGAATCTTTGGAGGATAAAACCTTCTTACGCCAAGTATGCTACATGGTGCCTTCAGAGAAAGACGTGTTGAGGTAACGGTAACACTTCATATTTCAGATTTTTTTTTTAATTATCTTCCTCTTGGACCAAATTTCTGCCCTTGGGCCGAAACATGGATCGACAAAACAAAATTAAAAATATTTTCGGACTTTTTTTCTTAAAACATTTTTTAATAATAAACTGTTTTTTTTTTCTTTTTTAAGATTTTAGGAAATTAGCAGTTCCACACATGCGCCTTTTAGAATATATTAAAAATTTTAAAAATTAATCTAAAAAATAAAATATATCAATCCCCTTTGTAAAATTAAAAAATTCATTAATATAATTTTTTGGTGTTTATATGACCTATTGCAATTTTCTTTTTCGAGGAAAAACCAATAAAAATTGTGGGAAATTAATTTGATGGAAAAACATAATCTTCCCAAGGATACAATCAAATTAACCTTTGATTTATCATGTAATGGGCATATGTGTTTCAACACTTCACGTTTTTAAGACATTGGTGCGTTTGCTTTTTTGAGTGGTGTAGATTGGTTTGATAATTGAGTTAGACTTTGTACCGAATGAAAACTCCAAATCCATGTTTGTCTTGAGAGATCAACGACAAAAAAAGACGAAGAGAAAGAGAGAGGAAGAGGCAAAGAATGGACTATTATTATTTTTTAAAGCAAAGTTATTTAGAAATATATATTTTTTATAATATTGATTAAGAGTCAATGCAATAATTGAGACCCGAATGCATTTATAATCAAATTTCTTGTCCTAAAATTTATAAAAAGCTTAAAAGTGAAAGACATCAAAAGAAATCATGCAAATGCTATGAACATTTGTTAAAGGAATTTTAGGGTTCATATTTAAGAAGAAAAAAAAATTTAACAATCTTTTTTATGCATGATTGAGATATAAAAATATTATTATTTCATATACACTTGCATGGTTTATTAAATTAAATTAATTATTTTTTTTAAATACACTTGATGAAAATGAATATATATCCTACGACCATATGTTTTGTTAGTAATTTTAAGGTAAAAAGATAAAAAAAAATTTTCAAATAAAAATTTAAATATTTTATTATAATAAATTCAGCATAAATTTTTTTATTTTGAATTAATTAAATTTTTAAATATTTATTTTTACCTAATTGAACTTTTAAAAATATATATTTTCACTCAATTAAACCTTCAATTATACAAAAATAATTAAAATTTTTCTCTAAATGTGATTCAATTACTGAAAATAATATTTAAAATTTAATTGATTAAAAAATAATTATTAAATTTTAATTCAAAACAAATTTTGACCTTTTTTACCTAATTTTAACGACCCGAGCGTAATTCTGACGGGCTCAAAACAAAATTTTGAAGAATACATACGTCAGCAGAAAGCTTGACAGGTTGGCCCATTTTAAGTGCACAAGTCCTTCTATCATGAGCCCCAAAGAGGGGCCGTTGGCCCAAAAAATGGGCCTTTGAGGTCCAATCACCTAAGGCGGTTCCCATTATATTGAATCGATAATGGCCCAAAAGCCATCACATGCCAACGCCATTTGCTTATCACTAAAACAGAAAATATAAAATCAAACAGTGCCTTCATCTGACTCGAAAATTTTCACTCTCTTTGCACGGAGAGAGGAGAAAAGAACAGAAACCCAAGTCCCCCCTCCAAAAAAAAATCCAAAACCCTAATTTCAGAAACAAAGGCTAATATCTTGGATTTGTTTCTTTAGAATTTCATTTTGTATCGCTGAAGTAGAGATTTCTCGGCCAACGTTGCCATGTGGAACAACAACAATAACGGCGCTCAGATAGCGCCACCGGGAACTGGGGGATCCACCATCCCGCCGCCTCCTGCTGCGCAGCCTTCGTACACAGTGCTGGCACCGCAGACGACTCCGCAGGAGGTGGAGGCGAAGCTGGAGGAGAAGGCTCGGAAATGGATGCAGCTTAACTCTAAGAGATATGGAGATAAAAGGAAGTTTGGTTTTGTCGAGACGCAGAAGGAGGACATGCCACCGGAACACGTCAGGAAGATTATCAGGTGAGCTTTATTACAACATTTCCTTAGCAAGGACAATTTTAAGAAGATTATCTTAGGATTTGTTAAAATTAGAGAAAAACTTGTTTTACTAAGCTTACAGAGGACATTTTAAGAGGAGGGGAAGACCAATGATAACTTGAAATTATAAAATGCGGACTGAGTTTGCGGAGGAATGGTTATGGTGCAATATGATCCATATAACGGACCTCACTCTGTTGAAAAACTGATAAACTTTTAGTGGTTGTTTTTGTTGTAGCAGTGGTGCAAAACTTGTTCCTTAGAAGTGGGAAGTTCTTAGTTAGTACCTGCCTATATACTGGAATGTGAAGGGAATGTTTAATTGTAATGTGTATCTGGAACAATGGCTTGTGATTTTTTTTTTTTTTTTGCTTTGATGCCTGATTCTCCCCAAGACGTTGAAACTGTTTAGCAATTTTATCCTTTCTAGTCCGATCTTTATTGATATTTACATCATATTTAATTTAATTCAAGGAATGGTACTCTTTGTTTAGTTTCCAAAACCACCAGTGTCCTTTTTTTTGATAATTTGTGGTTTAATGTTCTGATAGTATAATTATTTTCTCTTTCTCGTTGCTATAATCTTTAGGATGGTTCCTGGCCCACACATCAGATGTTATATCTTATATTGGCAAGACACGCATGATGTAATGATGGTTTTTTTTTTTTCTTGTCTTTTTGACAGAGACCATGGGGACATGTCCTCAAAAAAATATCGCCATGACAAACGTGTATATCTTGGGGCCCTTAAATTCATTCCACATGCAGTTTACAAGCTCCTTGAGAATATGCCAATGCCTTGGGAACAAGTTCGTGATGTGAAGGTCTTATACCATATTACAGGAGCGATCACATTTGTGAATGAAATACCATGGGTTGTTGAACCAATTTATTTAGCACAGGTATACTTATTTCTTTCCCCTTTTACATCAAACTGACACCAAATTAAGTTGTATCTCAGTTGAATTATACATGAAAGTAGTACATCTTTGTTGTTATTCGTTGACTTATCTTTTATTTCAACAGTGGGGTACAATGTGGATCATGATGCGAAGGGAGAAAAGAGATCGTCGTCATTTCAAGAGAATGCGGTTTCCACCATTTGATGATGAGGAACCTCCATTAGACTATGCTGATAATCTGTTAGATGTCGATCCTCTAGAGCCAATTCAATTGGAGATGGATGAAGAAGAAGATTCTGCTGTATATGCTTGGTTTTATGACCATAAGCCTCTTGTAAAAACAAAGCTTATCAATGGTCCAAGTTACAGGAGATGGCATCTTCCTTCCAATATGGCAACTTTGCACCGGCTTGCTGGACAGCTGCTTTCTGATTTGATTGACCGTAATTATTTCTACTTGTTTGACATGGAGTCATTCTTCACAGCTAAAGCATTAAACATGTGCATACCTGGTAAATTTCCTGTCTTAATATTCTAAACTTACTATTTCCTATGTTCATGAATGATTTGAATTTGCAAATGTTGGCTGTTGCTGTCTTGGGGGGCCATTATAGTTAATTGAGATTCAATTATTATAAATTTATTCATTGGAAGTAGTTTTTTAAGAGCTTTTTAACTTCTGTACTGCTTGCTTTTGTTAGTACCATACTACTTATTGGCATTTCCATCACTTTTTTTTCTTTGTTTTTAACTTTGCGGGGTTTGGTGGGGAAGAAGATATGGGAGTGGAAATCTAATTTGATGATAATATCCAATTACTTCCATTATGGCAGGTTGTAGTTGTCATTTCAGTTTTCTTTAACATTGATAAATTGATGATATTCTGTTGTTTTACTGTGCTATTTGTCTTTATGCTGCTTTAGTGTTTTCTCAACTAGTTGTGCATACTTGCAGGTGGTCCGAAATTTGAACCACTATACCGTGATATGGAGAAAGGGGATGAGGACTGGAATGAATTTAATGACATAAACAAACTCATTATCCGGTCACCTCTTAGGACTGAGTACCGAATTGCTTTCCCTCATCTTTATAACAATAGGCCCAGGAAAGTAAAGCTTTGTGTGTATCACACTCCCATGATCATGTACATTAAAACAGAAGACCCTGATTTACCAGCATTCTATTATGATCCTTTGATACACCCCATAACTACCACAAACAAGGAGCGGCGTGAGAAGAAAATTTATGATGATGAGGATGAAGATGATTTTGTCTTGCCGGAAGGGGTGGAACCTTTTCTGAATGACACACAGCTTTACACTGACACTACTGCTGCTGGGATTTCTCTTTTGTTTGCTCCACGCCCTTTTAATATGAGGTCTGGCCGGATGCGACGTGCTGAAGATATACCACTTGTGTCAGAGTGGTACAAAGAGCACTGTCCTCCATCTTATCCTGTTAAAGTGCGGGTTAGTTATCAAAAACTATTGAAATGCTTTGTGCTGAATGAGCTGCATCATAGACCACCTAAGGCTCAGAAGAAGAAGCACTTGTTCCGGTCTCTACAGGCGACTAAGTTTTTTCAAACAACAGAGCTTGATTGGGTTGAAGCAGGTCTTCAAGTTTGCAAGCAAGGGTACAACATGCTGAACCTATTGATACATAGGAAAAATTTGAACTACCTTCACCTGGATTACAACTTCAACTTGAAGCCGGTGAAGACTCTCACCACAAAAGAGCGCAAGAAGTCACGTTTTGGCAATGCATTTCATCTTTGTCGTGAGATCCTGCGTTTAACAAAGCTTGTAGTTGATGCCAATGTTCAGTTTCGACTTGGCAATGTTGATGCCTTTCAATTGGCTGATGGTCTGCAGTATACATTTTCCCATGTTGGTCAGTTGACTGGGATGTACCGTTACAAGTACCGGCTCATGAGACAGATTAGGATGTGCAAAGACTTGAAGCACTTAATTTACTATCGCTTCAATACTGGGCCAGTGGGGAAAGGACCTGGATGTGGATTTTGGGCTCCAAT